TCTAATCGCTCTAAAAGAGCAGAGAATGTCATGATTTCAGCTCCCTGCCTCCTCTGCTCTTTGCCGCCTGTAAGCGCGTGTGGCCACGCCCACTTCTCCGCTCTGCATGCTGAACAGCTGATCAGCTGCTTAACTGCAGCAGGATGTCCTGCAGTAAGGGCTGCACAAAGGTGTTTAAATAATTTTAAATGATTTATTTTAAATAAAAATCCCATGCCGATCGTGCAGCTCGTCCATCAATCACCCAATTGTGTGTCATGTCCAATCTTATTTTGAAAATCCGTGATGGAGCGAGTCCACGATAAACAAACCATGAAGTAGCGAGGGACTACGACTAATAAACATGCAGTGGTTTCTATTATTTTGTTTTTAATTTCACTTTTACTTTCCGTCTTCTGACTATAAATCTTTTCATACACAGTTTAATGTAGTTAAATTTTTAAAAAGTGCTGCAGTTTTGTTGCCCATAAGCAGAACCTTTAAGTGTTTGACCTCATGTGCAGTAAAACAGAATCCTTAGTGTGTCACATGATTAAAGCACACGCTGAGCGCCACATGACTGTTACATCATGCTGCTCCTCAAATTCAGGTGATAAAAGACGTTTGTCCAAAGTGACGAGTCCCGAGTACGTTTGGCTGGAAAAAAGTATTTTATATCCGAGTGATCTGAATGAAACGGGTACAAACGTACCTGTCGAAGGCCGATCTTCTTACTGTCCCACATCTGTTTGAAGTTCCAGAAGAACGGCTGCTCACACTTCTGACAGGAGTCACTGTCCAGCCATTCAGGGGTCTGTGCACACGTATCGTTTTCAGCTACACAAGCACGTCCTTTAAGGGTTCATTTAAATGAAGAAAACATTAAACCGTGTCTTCCTAAATACGTTAAAGTCCAGATTTTTGGGATCCAACAACCAGTAAAAGGTTTGTTTTAGAAAAGAGGGATTTTTGTTGTGTATAAGAAATAAAACACTTGCGCATGAAGTGTAAAATAGTGGCCAGCTGATGGCTTTGCACAGACTTTTTGTCCGTTAAATGCATGAAGAGGACAGTAAATCTGTGAGCCCAGACTGAATTACAGTGGAAATGATGCAGAGGTCCAAAAGTCCAACCAGCAGAGCAGCTTTGACTTTCAATTAAGTTGCAGACGTATTTAAATTTAGATTAAAAATCATCTATTGGTTTCAGTTAACATAATTAGTTGAGACGAGCAGGAAAACACCAAATTTATGCTAAAATGAAGGTTAAATGTTGACGCTTTATCATTAGCAATGAATTTATTGATCCAGCAGTAAAACTGGTATGGATTTTATTTTCTGGGCAATAAACCACGTGTGAAGAATTCACTACATGATTTGAAGATTCAGAGCAAAGACGAGTAACTTCTTAAACTAACTTCCCCCAAAATAACAAATATTTGCTTTAAAGCTGTTTTTAGGTAAATACAATCGTTTTTTTGTTTGTTAAAGTCATGAACAAACATAATAAAGGTACATAATCGTGAAATATAAAACTGATGATTATAAAAATTTCATTTGCATTGATTTCTGTGAAAGTCATTTAAAAAAGGTATTGATCTACTTTAGTCTTGGCTCGTCAGTGTGGTGAGAACTAAACTCTCATCACTAACCCTTTAATCAACGGACAGAGCCTCTCAGCAACTCCAAACAATTTGAAACAAATTTCTATTTTGCATCATCACAAATTAAGAAGAATGGCAACAAGTAAATCATTTTAAATATACACATATTTTCAGTTTTTCTGCTTCTCAGCTGTAAAACGTTTGGTATTCCAGCAGCGAGTGGTTCTGAAGTGCAGCGGTCCATGATGTCACTCTAGAGCTCACCTTGCAGGATGCAGGTGTCAACAGCAAGTTCAGAAAATGGAGGCGAGATGAGCGTTTGGGTCAAACACCGACGGGAGAATGAACGTGATAAAATACAGAAGCAATTAGAGCTCAGCTAACCATGTGCAGAGCAGGAGATGAAGCTACACTCTGACTGTAAAGCAGAAAATCAAAGAGGGCTCTGATGATCAGGTGATCTCTCATGGATCTACTCCTCTAGAGCAAACATGAGTAATTAAACCGACCCGTGTGTGCTTCTCTGCAGCTGCACAGCAAAGATCAGTGATTTCCACGACACCCCCCTCCCCCACTCTGTCAGGTTAATACTCAATCTATTCAGAGGATTATCAATCAAGACAATTAATGACTGAAGCTGTGGAGGTGGAGCATCAATCAATATCTGGGAACTGTTCTCAGTGACAAACTGACCTTTTTAATGTTCATTCTACTTTTATGAGAATGTTTCATTGAGTCTCT